TAGTCTTGTTCTAGCGGAAGCCATCGGACACCACCGCGGCACCGTCGCATGCATCGCCGAACCATTGACGGCAATTCAGCAGCCCGTTAACCGTCTCTCCCCGGGGCGCCGCCGGGCGTTGTGGAGTTTCTGACTCTGCTTCAGCCTTCACCTTGCGGATGTTCTTCGGTTCCTGTGGTTTTTTCTTTCTTTCGTGTGCCAGGCTTTCAGCTGCGGCCTACCCCCCTCGTATGAGACGGCGGACACTACGATGGGGCACTTCTGATGCCATGTTCCTTGTCGCAATCATGCCGGGACCGGGATTCCGGTGGCCGGCCGTCTGTGAGTAATGGGAGAGTACGGGGGGATGAGGTGTTTTGCGGCTTGCTTGCCGCTTGCCTATGCCTTGAAAGAGCCCCCCCGACCCTAGGGCAAAGCCACGCGGCGGGTAACCTGGTTTCCGTGTGGTGATATTGGGGGCCGCGAGATTGGTGCCCATGATGAGCCATTAGTTTCCGGCGATTGGGTTGGAATGCGGGAATCATTTCATCTTGTTTAGATTTTAGAACACATCGGAAAATTGTCACTGTGGATGACGAGATTGTGCTAAGATCAAATGTCTCAATTCAGGCATTTGTATGGTCTCGGACACGGGCCGGAACCCTCTCCTCCAAATAAGAGCCAACAACCAACTGTCATGCGCTTTTCGCATCTGTCCTGCAGGCAACCTGCCGGCTCCTAGGGCTCTAGTCTGACTTCGAAAAGCAGAGTCAGCCAACGTGATTCGCCAATGCCCAAGTCCACAGCCCCCTCGAGTTTCGCGGGAAGATCGATGTTGTGCGAGAGGCGACTGGTTCATGCGAGCACGGGCTGACCTTGGCCACTGTCCCCAATTTTCTGCCCAGTTCAGGCTTACACGTGGATCCCGCTCCACGGTTCTTTTGTCTCTGCCTGTGTGCCTGCGTTGCTTACTGTGGTTCTGTCAGACTTGAGTGGTAGGCTGATGGCGTGTCGGACATTAACGAATGGCCGTGTTTTTTTCTCCTGTTTCCATTTTTGCTCCTGTTTGTCTAACATTCAGTCTTACCTGTTGAATCCTGTCAATAGAGGGAGCAGAGACAGGCGTCGGAGCAGCGCGCAGATCCAAGGGCCCGAAAACCCGGTTCGGTGCTCGGTGTTGAATGATGTACACTACTAGCCCTGCTGCATGTCTGGTCTGCTAGAGGGCGGCGTAGAACGGCCATGTGGTTTTAGCAAACAATCTTGGCTGCAGCATGCAATCTGATTGTCGCAAACATGCATACCTTGATCATGTAATAGGAAAGTTTTCCTGCGTTGTTAGTCCTAACAAACTCTCACAAGTTCATGGCTGGCAATCCCTGGAATACTTTCCTCTCTCTTTTTTCTCTCGTCCTTCCTATTTAGAACGGCAGAGTTCGCTCCCGAACCAGGATTTGCACGGAGTTCAGACGAACGGAGATGGCTTCCTCTTCTATCTTGCTGCGACACTGGTGGGGGGAGGCATAAGGTTTTTGACAGCTATACTGGCATGTCGGTATTCTCTGCGACAGCATGGTCTGTTGCATTTGACACGCCGGCAACTTCGCCCACGTCTTCCGGGTTCCAAGACCATATGACTGACTGCATACTTACTAGCCACATTTTGTTTGAGAAAATATTTCTGGACAATAGTTTGCAAGCCTCGACTAGCAGCCGCTGGTACCGACAGACGCCACAATATCCGAGAGCATCGGATTGATCATTGTTGTCTTGCCAATACAGAACTGAAGGCTTAGGTGACATCGCGCTAGAAAAAACGAACAATAGAGTTCAAAAGCTTGGCAAGGGTCACGATCAACAATCAAACCAGTCGCTCGGTACGCAAACTTCCTTTTCAGGAAAGGTATCCGCGTTTGCGGCCAAAAACTGACTTCACCCCTTGCAATGATTGCAATATTGCTATGCCGCTGCCCGCAACAACATACCCAGCGAACCCAGGGGTTTGCTTTCAATGTCCGAGTCCGAGTCTTTCCAAGAATCCAACCCACCGGAGTTGATCTCGGAGGTGGCTCCGTCGTCCTTCATTCCCGTGCATCTATCGTGACCGCCAGAGAAACATCCGTGATGGATTGGGCCACTACTCAGAGTGGCCTGCGGCATCAATCTTACGACCTCACGGGGTTCTTGCCGAACGTCAGGTTAATCTGATATTGAGAGCGAGGTTCACTTCTAAGGTTTATGGAGCTCTTCCGACTACACCGCTCACAGATCGTCATCACCACAAATGCCAAGCTGCCAACTGCCGAAAAGTTTGTGTTATCGTTTTCGTGTAACCTTCATCCCACAAACTACTTAAGGCGCGGCAGCGAAGGAAGGAGCAGCGATCGGTGATCTAATAATTCTCATTCCAGCTCACGTTTATAAATAGTCCATCATGGCCATTCCAATCTAGCAAACACGTCATACGGTCACACAAGTGATTAGTTGTTTGTGCCTAGATTTCAAATCAAACACTGCACTCATTGATTAACACAGTGCAACTGAGATCGCTATTCTTGAGCTCATGCTATTGAAACTTTCCCCACTCAAGTGCTTTCAGATGTTGCCACGTCCTCAGTCTTTATGACAAATGCAGTCGATTGTCTGACAGGAAATGAGGCTCCTTCGGCGAGGGTTAGGAAGAGCAGCCAACTCAGCATGATTCAGGCGCAAAGCTGCGATAAATTGTAATTCAGAACAATCTTTATTCCATGTGAGTGTCGGTGGTACTTCTAGTAGCTTCAGGTATCCAGATGATGACACCTCAAAAACTGGTGATAAGCTGTCAAAGCCCCTCCTCAAGCTCGTGAAGGATTTTGCGTTATGTTAATTATCTGGATCGATAAAAACTGTAGCAACTTATGCTTGGTAATATTTAATACGTTGACAACAAAGAGAAGTCAGAGCCAGTGACATGCGATGAAGGTCGAGCTTGAGATGACCATGCCATGTGAGATGGGATACGACAAAGTCCCATGACTTATAGTTTTTGGAAGCACTAAGATGATTTGAGAGTCCTGAAATAACGATCACTCTATGCGCACTGCTTCCGATGCTTGAGTTGAGTCTACGAATTCATCTGTCATGATGCGCTTTGCACCATCTCACGCGCCAATCTGCAGCAAGCTTGGCTCTGAGAAATGTCTAGTCAAATCTCACCGACTCGGATTTATCGAATCGTTGATTAGTCTCTGCAAGTACTTAGTGCTAATAGTAAAGATCACATGTTGGAAATCAAATGCAGTCGCCGGTACGCTGTGAAATATGCCCCGGATGTAGTCCGGATCTGGCTTAAGTCCGCGCCCGCCGATTCTCCGTGAGACACTGGCCGATGCAGGGCCGCTCACGTCTAAGTCCCTTCGGCTTCAACCTCAAACTCCGGGCGTACAAGCTCGAAGACAAAAGCATATAAACTCGTTCGAATTAAGAAGCTTGCAATATGTTTAATGCGAGAGTACAATCAAAGCTGTACAGAATTTACAATTCCATCACCATGTCTCACCCGCTTGTTGTCCCAGACAGACCTCTAACATGGCTCATCACCGGCTGCTCATCCGGGTTTGGACTAGCTCTCACAAGACTGGCGCAGAAACAAGGGCACACTGTGATCGCCACCTCGCGCAACCCCCAAAAGACGCCGGACTTAGTGCGTGAAGTCCAGGATGGAGGGGGCCGCTGGCTTCCGCTCGACGTTGACGACCTGAACTCGGGAGACCTCATCACGGACCTCGCGAAAGATGGTACTTTGATCGATGTGCTAGTCAATAATGCTGGATGGTCTATCCATGGCCCGGCAGAAGGTTTCACGGAAGAAGAGACGAGGGCGCAGATGGACACCGTGTTCTTTGGGCCCTACCGGTTGATGAGGACAGTCGCTCCCCTCATGCGAGAGAGAAGGAGTGGTATTATCACCAATATCAGCTCTGGGGCAGGGTTGGAGGGGAGAGAGTCGATGGGCGTTTATGCGGCTGCGAAAGCCGCGATGGATGGTGAGTGTGATGACCTTCAACCATCTCGTGAGTTCACGGCTGATGACATTTCAAATAGGTGTTAGCAAAGTCCTCGCAAAGGAAATGGCTCCGTTCGGTGTGCGCGTCTTGACAGTTGCGCTCGGGTCGTTCGACACGAATATGGGGCCGACAGTTAGGTTAGCGAGTAAGCCTACGCCTTCAGACTACGACGGCAGTGCTCTAGATGCAGTCTTTAAGGTCATGGCTGCATCGGCAACAGAGGGCTTTCCTGCCGATGGGGATCATGTCAAGGCAGCCAAGGTGATTTATGAAGTCATCACTGGCACAGGAGTGGGTGAGGGCAAGGAGGGTGAGAGAGTACTGCCTTTGGGAAGGGATATGGCGAAGAGAGTTGATGATGTCGTTGTAGGGTGGCAGAGGACCATGGATGTATTCGGAGACGTATGCGACAATGTGTACTTGGAAAAGTAAACGCCACATGTAGATTCAAGTTTCATCATGGAAGGCCATTTAGATGCCAAAGATTTCTACACAACCCCCCTGACAAATGATCTCAAGACAGGATATTCTTCTGGCGGGGTTTTAATTGTGTCTTAAAGCTTCTCCATGCTGTCACTACATTCATGAAGCCATCTCCCCAATCTTCACCTGTTGTTAATCTCTTCTAGGCTGACAGTTTCCCAACCCTTCTCACCACAACCTAGCACGATTCCCACACCTTCACTCATATCATTCCATCCCATTTTCCGCAACCCGTCCGGTCCCTCTTCTGAGAAAGCCACGTATAAATCTTGCCATACACGCGAGACATTCTCTTCCAAAGACGTAGAGGGGCCACGAGTCCAGTCGTGTGTTCCGAAGATCAAAGGCATGTCCGAGCTGTGATAGGCTCGCAGCCATGGTCGGGGACTGATGTTAGGAAATGAGCTGATACCAGCAGGTGCAAAGTCTTTGAGCAAGAAGCGGAACGTGGGAGTATGAGCTGAGCGGGCTCTGTCATCCAGAAGATCGTTAGCAGCTATACTGAGAGTCTGAGAATGTCAGGATGTATGGGAAGAACATTTCGTACCGTGCCATGGCTACCATTGGTCCCAAGAAGTAGTCTTTTGTAATCTTTTCCGCCCAGAATGGATCAGCCCCATCGGGATGATACACAGCTACTGAGTTGCCTTCATCATTCATGGTTCCACAAATGGCCGGCTTGTTGAGGTCGGTCAGCGATGATAGATTCGACCCAAAGTACGGGTACTGCTTACCAGTCTACTGAAGTTCCCAGCCTTGGCTCTGTCTTCATAGTCATCAAATAGAGTAAAATTGTCTACTACGGGCCGGAAGCTCAGAAAAGGCTTCTCCTCAGTAGCCCAGTGATGCTGGATAGCCTCGAGGAGCTCTTGCGGAGGCTGTTGCCTCATGAATTCCAGCTCTGCCGCAGCGTCACCGCCCGGGAAGCCGAGTGCCCTGGCGAGAGCACTGAAGTGCGTACATCCCGGGTCGCTCACTGGAAGCGGAGGGAGCGCACACCCAGAATGGAGAATGAGGTTTCGCACCAGGGGTTTGTCCGGGTGCAGAAACGCATGGCAGTCGATGCTGCGGGCGCCTGCTGATTGTCCGAAATGCGTCATTCGCGATGGATCACCGCCGAAGGAGGCGATGTGTTGGTGTACCCATTCCAGCCCGAGTCGCTGGTCTAAGAATCCTAGATTTCGTTCATTAGGGCATAGTCCTGCGGCATTGGGGAAGCCGAAGACGTTCAGGCGATAACTGGAATCGTGTAAGCGCATAGATCCCCGAGGCGAGATTGGAATGGTCCGAGAGGTTCGGTGATACTGACTTAATGCTGACAACAATGTGGCGTTTGCTGTTCTCGATCCAGGGCGTCGGATTCTGATAAGGGATCGTAGAGCCGCCGACGAGAAATGCGCCACCGGTGATGAAGACTATCACAGGGAGCTTCCTTAACCCCTCCTTGACCGCATCTTTAGGTGCCCAAATGCAAAGAGAGAGACAATCCTCGGAAGTCTCGTCTCGGATCTGATGTTCAGTCACATCCGTATTATAAACCGACGGCCTGCCTCCAAGCTGTTGAGGGCAAGATAATCCAAACTTTGTAGCATCAATGCTGTCGACCGGAGCCTTCGGCGTAGGAGGTAACCACCGGCGCGGCCCTATCGGCGGTTCGGCGAAGGGAATGCCGAGGAATTGGGCGACATTTGGGAAGTCTCTATTGATGAATCCTTTGACGGAGCCGAAGGTTGAGTTTACTGTGATATAGTCGACTCCCAACTTGCTTTCACTAACGATAGACATGATTGATTGATTCCTGTGTTGCAGATTGCTCCGCGTCGTTGCCTGACGTTAAGGTTGACGAGAAAGGTCCTCTCCAGCATGCACAAGATACAAGCTGTCAGTGGGTTATGTCCCTGGTCTAGGGCATGTTTACGGAACTCCACATAAGGATGCAGGATCAATTGCATGAGTACGGAGCATCAAATCCTAAATATGCAGCCGTCTCTACGGTCCTGAATGGTTTTAACAAACCGTGGCGCCGGGACTCTTCTCCTTCTGTCTAGACCCTTTTTCTTCAAATTCCTTTCAAATCTGCAATATCCATCAAAGTGCTGTCCTTCATCCTTGGGTGTCATAGCGTGTCGATGGCCCTGTCACTACCCCAGCATGGCTCCTGAATCCTGCTTCACTATAGGCTCTATCAGCACTGTGGCAGCGGACCCATCTGCTGGGGGATGTCGCCTGTGGTTCGTCCATAGGTAATGCAAATGTCTCCGCATAGCTGTAAATTGGCAACATACCTAGTAGGCAGCGTCTTGATTCTTGGGATGGTTGCCATTTCACGAATAAATAATGTCGCTTACTTCCTAGCAAATAAAAGATTGCCTTGTTCATTCGCATACAATCGAGTACAACAAGACGCAAAACCCACATCATTTGTCTAACGGAACAGTGGAGTTGAAGAGGATCCAGTGATGTTGAACAACTGCCAGATGAGGTGTACCTCAACAACGCAAACATGAATTGCTTGCATAAGTGAGACTTGCTCATAGTTGAGTCAAAAGTTGAGACTATATTACACAAAGCATCATTGGCAGGACCTCCAGGACTGAACTTAGCGGTGTGAATTGGACCATCGTAGGGCCCGTTCAACAAAAGGAGAGTTTTAGACGAGAGTCAAAGTTTTACTTTCGCACTATTAGTATTGACTAACGTAGGAAGCAGAGGACACTCAAAATGGATTTTCATGACCGGCGCTCTCTAAAGCCGGTGTCTTTGCAAGGCCGGCTATTGAGAGGCCGGCTATCTCGAGTTGAAGCTGTGAATGCCGTTTTCTAGTATATAAACAGAAGACTCGCACCGAAAACGTTCTAGAGACTAGCTCAACAAGCAACTGCAGACGTCTATCAGTCCATCAAATCACCACCACCGTCTTCCCACGAAAATGCAGATCCAGACCGTTGTTCTCTTTCTCACAGCCACGCTGCTTGGCTCTGCGGTAAGATGAACGACAGTGACTCAATAGACATTTTTCCGATATGCTAACTTTGATTTAGAGTGCCTTCTGCAGCAAAGATGACTGTTGTTTCAAGGACAACGTGGCTCGCGATAAGCACGTAAGTTCTATGCTCCCCTTGCGGGCTTCGTTGTGTCTCTTCATTAATGCTAGTTGTGTAGAACGGCGATGCTTTCTACTGCCTGAACGTCATGCACGGAGGACCTTGCCATGCCGACTGCTGTACTCTTGATGGAAAGGGACGCTCCTGCTAAGGTTCGATTTGGCGATGGAGAGGTCATCAAGGAATGGCGTTACCGGGTTTAGGAGCGGTGGTGCTAAAATGTTCGTCGAAATCAGTCACCGGTGGCAGCAGAAAAGCTTTGAATCTAGAATTTCTGCTTCCTTTCAGTTTTGGACAAGAGAGGTGTTCGAGTGTGGACATGGAGCAATGCTAAGTCTGGAGTGCATTAAGAAACCTGTTAGCACGCCCTCTATGTTCATTGAAATGCGTCTGATGATGAGACTCTGGCATATCATGATGATCCAAGTTCGCAATTTTCCGTCTTGCTGGGGATGGTCATAATCGCGCAGTCTTTGAGGAAAAATCTGCTTGGGAATCTCCGGTCAAGCCAATCGCGATTCATGGTATTTTACTTTGAAAATTGGAAAACTTGAAGCCTTTTCGGAGATGTTGAGACGGATGGATAGAATGATCATTGGAGTGACACTTGAGATCGCCGATTCAAACTCACAGTGGCTCTTGATGGAGACCTGCAATGAGAGTCTGAGAGTGAGGTTCGATGAGATAGTCGCAGTGATTGATATTCTGCCAATTCAATAATCATTAATTGCCTGTAAAGAGCCTTGCAATTGAGATTATGTAACCAACATGAACCCTCATGAGGGCATCTTGATGGTACGTCACGATGTGGGTAGCCAGGAGTTTGCGTGATTGGACTGGCGGTTGATAGCCAAGATAGCCCTACGAATACGTACCCCGTCACGCCTGTGCAGATAAGATCAATCTGATAAATCCGAGGCTCCGATCGTCCACATCCCGACTGACCTTCCCCATATGAATGCACCTGCAAAAGTGGTTACACTTGCATAAGCGAGAGAGGGTCGCTCCAGCATTGGTGCGACTGTGCGACAAACGAGTTGAAGAAAGCCGCCGAAGAACGGATGTTGACTCGGTTCATACTAGTACTTGATCCCCCACTACACGGCACACGCGCGGCTGATTCTTTACATCATTCCATAGCGAAAAGGACTCCGAGGCCATCACCCCATGATCACCACCTTACCTATTACCTGACGTACTACCAAGGACTGACGAACAGCCCTGCTGGCCCAAGATTGCTTTGCTGAGATCGAGTTTCGCGCTCTTTGGAATTAGAGTGAGGTCGGTGCTGCTGGTTGCGCGAGCTGCTTCCACTATTCCCCTCAAACCCCGCAGTCAACAACGCTGGTCAAGCAAGATGAGTGCATCAGACGGTACATTGGTGGTGGGAGTCGACGTTGGAGGTAAGAGACTTTCTAAAGAATCCCGGCTTGTAACGACAGAGCAATGCACAACTGTTCACTTCTTGTGACTAATCATCTTCACAGGTACCAACACTGACAGCGTGCTCTTGGATGTCTCAAAGTCCAGCACGGATGCTGTTGTCGCATCTCACAAAGCCCCAACAACGTCAAACGTAACTCACTCCGTCCAGGCCACCTTGAAAGCTCTGCTGGACAAGTCAACTGCAGACCCCGCCAACATCACCGCGCTCGCCATTGGCACGACGCACTTCCTCAATGCCATCATTGAGAGAGACACATCCCGTGTGGAAAAGATTGCCGTACTCCGCTTGGCATCTCACAACTTTTCAACAGGCACCCCACCTTTTGCGGACTGGCCCTCGGCATTGAAGCGCATCATCAACGGCCACTCAGCCATCATCCCCGGCGGCTGCAACATTGACGGCACCCTCATCGGCCCTATTGACGAGGAGTCTATCCGCGAGCAGGCGAGGCAGATCAAGTCCAAGGGGCTCAAGAACGTTGCAGTCATCGGCATCGGATGTAGTACCGACAAGGACTACCACCAGGAGGATGAGGTCCGCAAGATCCTGCTCAGCGAGCTGGGTGAAAATGTCAACATCGTCCTCTCCCACAACATTGCCGGACCAGGACTCCTCGCCCGCGAGAATGCGACGATTCTTAATGCCTCGATTCTAAACTTTGCCCAGCGCACCATCAGAGCCTTCATCGGCGCCATGCGACGCATCGGTCTCCAGTGCCCACTGTACTTGACCTCCAACGCCGGCCACCTTCTGCCCTTCTCAGAGGCCATGCAGGCCCCCATCAGGATCTTCTCCTCGGGTGCAACAAATTCCATCCGAGGCGCTGCGTTCCTCGCCAGGGACTCGATAGACAAATCGGGCAGCATCGTCGTGGACATCGGCGGCACCACGTCGGACGTCGGATACCTGCTGAGCAACGGATACCCCAGATTATCCAAGAGCTACACGGCATTGGCCGGCGTCAAGGTGAACCTGGAGATGCCTTCCGTCGAGAGCATCGGTCTGGGAGGTGGCTCTATTCTCCATAGCGCGGACGACGGTTCCGTAGCTGTTGGACCTGATAGCGTAGGCCACGACCTCATCACCAAGGCCCTGTCCTTCGGAGGCGATGTCACAACCGCCACGGATGTCGCAGTCGCATCGGGTGCGAAGATTGGCACCACGGCTGTGTCTCTGTCGAGCGACGTTGTCGAAAAGGGCAAGGCGCGTATCCGCAAGATGCTCGAGGCCGTCATCGATCGCGCGAAGTTGTCTCCCGAACCATGCACAGTCATCCTCGTCGGCGGTGGCTCCATCCTCTGCCCTTCGGAGCTCACAGGCGTCAGCAAGGTCGTAGTCCCCGAGCACGCCGGCGTCGCCAACGCAATCGGCGCATCTATTGCCAAGATTTACGGCTCCGCTGAGACGATTATCCACGGCTCAGACATCCAGGGCGGCATCGCGGACGTCAAGGCCCGGGCGATTCAGAACGCCGTCGCCAAGGGCGGTGATGAGAGCTCCGTGACTGTCCTCCACGAGGAGATTGCAGGTGTTCCCTACGTGGAGAACCAGACCTCCATCAAGATTGAAGTTGCGCTGCCGGCAGACCATAAGCGCGTGTACTCGGAGATGGTGAAGACGGCCGCGCCTGACCAGCTGGTCGACGAGGAGATGTTTGAGGAGACCAAGAAGCACGAAGCCGAGGACGCGGAAGATCACCCGGAAGACGAAGTCGTTGATCTTAAGAGCTACAAGCCCAAGGTCGAATCCAACGGCTTGTGGACGCTCTCCGAGACTGATCTCAGATTCTTGTCCATCGGGTGTTACATCCTGGGCTGCGGCGGTGGTGGTTCTCCGTATGCGCCGTACTTGCAGCTGAAGCAGTTGTTGGCCGAGGGCGAATCGATGAAGATTATCCGGATCGAGGACCTCAAGGACGACGAGATGATGCCGCCGGTCGCTAGCGTCGGCACGCCTGCTGTAAGTATCGAGAGACCCGGCGGTGACGGAGTCTGGCACGCCATGCAAGAGATGGAGAAGGAGATGAAGACCAGGTTCGAGAGGCTCATCGCAACGGAGATTGGCGGTGCCAACGGCGTCGCCACACTCATCTGGGGAAGCTCGCGTTACTACGACATCCCGACCGTGGACGGCGACATGATGGGACGCGCATATCCCCAGTTCGAAATGGTCTCGCAGTACATCCACGCCAAATCCGTCAACGAGCTCCTCCCCGTGACCCTCTGCAGCGGCAC